GAAAGTTTGGGGAATCGCGCGATTTTATAATCCGGCCATCGTCATTCTCCGCACTTCATAACAAATATCCCAGCAGCAGTAGCACTGTCTAATTTCTAGCATAAATAACAAAAGACATGAAAAGAAATCGGTTCATTAGCGAAGATGCAGGCACCGAGGAAGCAACCCGAAACGTCGTCAAAGCATCTGCAGCCAATCAGCGCGCTGCGTTCAAAGACGAGGCGTCGTTATCCCCACGCTACCCTACAAGTGAGACTGGTCCTCTGTATCGATCAGAAGATACGACACAATTCGGGTACTCTCACGTCGTCGTCATGGATACAAACGCTGAACAGTTCGGAGATCGTGTGTCATGCCTCCATTTCTTTTCAGTACAGATTAATATTTCTGGTTTATTTAACAACGCTGTCAGCAGCTCAGACTGCGTACAGCCCGATGAAAAGATTACTCGCAAACAATTAATTCGAGACAGTAAGGAAGGGAGTGGCCCAAACCCTCAGAACGAGCGCAGGCCCTAAAGTCCACTGGAATTTCTAAGTTCTGTTTGGTTCTCAAAGCTGGTGGTACTATCCCATTCCTTGACATCGAATCCAGTAGCAGAAGGAACATAAGAACACTCCTCTGTAGGGTAGAGTCAGATTCTGTGCATCCATCCACTTGGAAAGCGCCGCTCTGAAAGCCACTCCAACGACACCGCTCCAGTGAGTGGGCTGCGAAGATGCGGGTCGAGAGGTCACCACGAGTTACCAATTGCTGGCAATTTTTCTGGTGACATTTATAATTGCTTCTACTAATCAGGAAAATTTGTGAGTGTCAGTGTCGTGAAGGCGCCTGCATTTCGCTAACAGAGTTAAATTTTGCGGTGCACTTGGTTCTTGGAGTAAAAATTAAGAAGATGGCTGTCTTCTGAGATGCTACACCTTGTAGTCTGAGCCCTGACGATCGAAGCAGTGAGAGCCCCTGAAACCTAGGCAAGTTTCTATCAGACTACGACGGCGCAACATCGCAAAAGAATCTTAAATCTCACATAAGAGCATCACTTCAGTAGCAGCGATCACATCTCTTGCATTATCCTCTTCAAAACAAGGAAACAGAATGTCTGGTTGGAAAGAAAAAGTTTTAATTAGCGAGACTCGTTCCGTTTCCTGAACTAACAGTTTAATTAAATTCCCGTCTCGCGCGCTACCAAGCTTTATAAAACGAGGCGGAGACCACAGGATTACCCATTAAAAAGTTCATCAGAAAATGCAAAATCCGCTCTGTCTCCAGGCACACTCCTGCCATCTGTGAGGAGGAGGACGAAGTGAGGAAGAAGGGGAGAGAGAGAGAGAACCTCAGAGGCTGCAGAGGGAGACGCTGCATCTGAGAGGAACGACGATTTTTGAGGCTCTGGAAATTCCCAGGCGGTGCACACTAAAACTCACTATACGCCATGTAGGCGCTTGGGGGGAGAGCCAAATGAAACCCACGTACGCAGTTACCACTAGCCTGTAAAGGGTTAAGTGTAAACGGCAAATGTCAGGCAAGCGTCCCGACGAAGACGGGCGCCGCGACGCGCCAGAACGGTCAATACTTGGGAAGAAGGTCGCAGCCACATGGACGGCGTTCGGGTTATCAGATTATCCAATGTCTAACTCTGAAGGTCCCCGGCGAGTTACAGAAATCTGCGCTTAGTTAATCCTGACACCAGCGTCTCATATCCCGTGGATGTTCATTTAAATTAGGGGTCCGCGGCTATTTTTAAATTTGGGGGCACATCCATCCTTTCATACGAACTTGCTGGAAGGTTAGGCTTTCTTCTAAATGACTAAGAAACTTCGAGGTAATTTATTGAAAACTATAAAACATTAAAACATCCAAAGGTTGACGTATTAACTGAATAGTCCATAAA